GTCCGGCCATAACGGCGCGTCGTCGCGCGTCACTGTCTCACCGTTGTCTATTCACTGCGTCGGAGAGGCTCGTCGTTTTCCGCGGCGACAGGGAATCCACCGGGACCCCGATGACTCGGCTCGTCGACGACTGGCTCGCTCGCGTTACGCCGCTCGATAAAGCCGCGCATGCGAAACGCTCGCGCGTTTCGCGCGCCGACGGCCCGCCGCTTTCGAACTGGCCACCTTCGTGATAAGAGGTATCGTGCTTCGACGAGAACGATGGCGGGACGGTGGACACGTTCCGTGCCATGGAAACTTCGGTTGTATTTTGCGCTATGAACTGTATTGATTTTTTGAGTAAAATAGTATGTTGTATTTGGGTGTTTGATGATTCTTTTGGAATTTCATATTATTTCTTTGTGTTCACTGGTTTGTTACGTATACCGTGACCATGATCGATTGAAAATCTTACAAAAATTGGCCATAGGTGGTACACGTGTTACGGAAACTTCGGTTATATTTTGCTTGTGAACTGTATTGATTTTTTGAATAAAATAGTAAAATATATTCAGGTGGTTGATGATTTTTTTGGAATTTCATATTGTTTCTTTGTATTTACTGCTTTGTAACGTATACCATGACCATATATCCATTGAAAATATTTTCTTACAAAAATTGACGTGTACCATAGATGATACACGTGACACGGAACGTGTTAACCCCTTGCACTCGAAGGTTTTTCGCTTGAAATGTTCAATGCTTTTTAGTTGGATGTAGACAGGATTCTTTGGGATAAATGTATCTAGAAGTCATACATAAATTAAGGATTGAAGCTATTTTCTTTCAATATTTCACGTATTCGTGCATTATACAAAGGTTAATGGTAAATATCAAAATTTATAATTTTCTGTCGAAGAATTATAACAGAACCTTTAACGTGCAAGAACTAATAAACTAATCTTAATGAATTAAATTTCAAGATGCACAACGTGAATAACCACGACGCACAGGAGGCAAAACGCATTTCGCGATGCAGAGTGCAGCTGCAATAACCTACTTCGGCATTATTATTTAAATTAGCACAGCAGATACATGTTCATGTTTAAATAACATCCGCGCGGACCGATAAAAGCGTCGACAAAAGCGCTCCCTGTTTGCTAGACCGACAGCCGCTAAAGCTCGCCCGTGTAACTGAAACCGAACCGAAGCACTCGAGAGTATCCGTGTTTCAACATGATCTTTGTTCGCTCGCAATTGTTACGATATAAAAATCGCTGTAACCGTTTCGCAACAGTAATATGTCCGCTCGGTTCGCGGGGTCTTCGAGTTACTGCCTTTCAAACATAATTACGTTCAACCGCTGTAAAAGTACATTTGAGTCAATGGCACAGAGGATAATTGCCCGGCTAACTCACGCGTCTCTCTCGCGGCATTCTGATTAATAAACTTTGTACTCGTTTCATTGATTCACAGCGTACTCCGTTTGTCGAGGCGTTTAAACTTTAATCGAGTGCAATGCTACTCTTGAATTTAAATCTGTTTGAAATATTCCTTTTGTATAAATTCTTTGTAGAAATCATTTTACACCTCGGAATTCGTTCGGAGATAGTAATTAATTAATGCTAGGACCATCAAGTAGTTAAATTGACTTAAATTTCAGTGTTATATTTGAATCAATTTTAGCGGTTTCTCCAGTTAACTGTACCTTTTTAATGACTGTTTTATTCACTGTTATGTTATAGTATATATTTTTATAGTATATAGTACATATTATTATAATAAGTTATATCATATACGAGTAGCTCAGACTTTTTGATATTCTGATTTTTATCTTAAATTTCTAGATATTCTCCGATGTCAGTAAATTTTCAGTTCTAATGTTAACCCTTATCACTCCAGGTTGTTTTGCAATCTATCAGCAACTGCGACTAATTTTCATAGTATTCCTAGCGAAAATGAGAAATGCTATAACATTCCTTCGATCATTTATTTTCTTAGTACAAAATTTGGATGTGTGGAAGATCTAATAATTTTAGGGTAGTTTCTTTGATTCGTTAAAATATTTTATATTATAACTGGTGCAATATTGGAGCCTACAAAGTTCAAAGGGTTAAAGTGCATAATAATTACAAAAAATCGAAATTCATGAGAATGTGGCTTATAAATTTCAATGTTATAGCATTCATGTTATTTTGCACCACAATGAAATCGTTCCTAGATCGTTCCTAGAGAACTGCGTGTTCGTTTCTATAAATCGCGAAAATTGTAGCTTCAAAATATTGTAATGCGTATTCGCATGATTGCACGAATCAAGATCGACTTAAACCATTGCTAAATAATGTTTAAAGAATTCAATATCCGTCAAATTGACGGGTTCCGTGAACCTAGTGTTAAAGTAAATCTGACCCAGATCCCCGATAGTCCGCTGTGAATAATGAGTCGAGGTTTTTGAAGTTGACGTATAATTGTTCGCCATTGGTATACGCGGACGTGGGTGTTTATCGCGGCCGCGCTATCTCGGAAGACGAAGCCGCTTTCAGGGAGATAGGATGACCCGAAACTGACCTCGTGACACCAGATAATAATTCCGGAGTATGGCTGGCCGACTTGACTGCAAGCGCGGCCATTTGCAGCGGAATAAAATTCCTGGCCCTGTTCGAACTTCAAACATTTTCAATTGCTCGCCGTGTTTTCCGCTGGAGTTCCCTGTGTTTTGTTTCATTTTCCAACAGCGAATTAATTTATACATTCCATTAGTAATTTCGAGGTTCATTTACATATACGTGAACATTTTGTCAATTTATAGTTCGATTTTCTTTGTTACAGTTTATCACATGTGGACGATGCAAAATATAATTAAATAAATAATAGTATGCGAAATAGTAATTTAAAGAAGGAACATGATTTTCGTAATAATCAGAGTTCGAAGGAGACATTAGATGATTAAAGTATTGTTCAAGTAAATTTTGTTAGAAATTACAATAGATGTTTTCTAGTATTCTTCAATAGTCGATTTTCCTTAATCTCAGAGTTGTAAATACTTCCGTATATCAGAAGATAAACACAATTCGCTTATCGTTCTTTCTCGCTGCATACCATTTAAACGTAAATAACAAAAAGGAGAATCTACTGAGTAACTCGTTAAAATTGGTGTGAAACACGCAATGCTAGTAAATATTATGAACATTCGTGCTATGGTCGTCGAATATTATCGTCATCGAACGGATCAAATAAACCAATTCCAAATTTGAATTACGATATTCCGAATCAAATTTTTACAATAAAATTCTATTATTAAATTGCATGAAAGGAAATGAAGAATAATTAACCGTCTGCACTCGGAAAGGAGACAAAGGAAATATTCCTTAGAAGTAACTCGAAGGGAAATCACGAGTACATTGAGAAACAGAGTTATTTTATTCCAATGTTTCACGTGTCGAGGCATTATACAAAATTGAACATTGAATATCAGATTTTATAGTTTTACTGCGTCAAACCAAGTGGTGACGAGTCATCTCCCGAGTGCAAAGAGTTAACCTGTTCGCGCAGAATAACGCGCGAGACGTGTTTCGAATTGCGTCTGAATATATTCACGATTGTATTATTTGAATCTATTATATTATATTATCCGAATCTGGTATATTATATTATTTGAATCTTTCATATTATATTATCTGAATCTATTATATTGTAGTACCTACATTTTTATATTATATTATCTGAATCATTTATATTATATTATCTGAATCTATTATATTGTAGTACCTAAATTTTTATATTATATTATCTGAATCTTTTATATTATATTATTTGAATCTATTATATTATATTATATTATCTGAATCTTTTATATTATATTATTTGAATCTTTTATATTATATTATATTATTTGAATCTTTTATATTATATTATATTATTTGAAAATATTATATTATATTATCTGAATCTTCTCCATTATATCATCAGAACCTATCATATAATATTATCCGAACACACTTCGTACACATCCAGAAAATATACAGAACCGCTGCGCGAACGAGCTAATCGAAATGGGGTATCATGCATCGAAAGATTCGGCACGCAGGGAAGCCTCCGCTGCGTCGATTTTTCGTAGCGGCGCGCGGCAGACTTTCCTGATCCGCGATACTCGCCGTCCGGTTCGTTATCTCGTTTAGTCGCGGACCATCGTTCTCCCGTCTTACTTAACATCCCGGCTAGTCTAGTGCACCGCCAGCGATCCCGAGTTTGCCACAGTCTCCGCGAAACAAAAATCTGGGCGATAGTGTCGGTGAGTCTCGCGCGCGTGTCGCGAACACCTTACGATTCCTCTAATTAACCCTTTGCGGACGAGCATCGGCATTTCCTCGAGATCGAACTGTTGCGTTCGGTATACTAACCCTTTGCACTTCAACAGCACTTCACTATGTGAAACGTTCTTCTACGCGATCGTGCTTTGTTATGGTGAAAATTCAGGAAAATTGTTTTAGATTACTGTTTCTTTGACATCTTTACATTGACTATTGCTTGGGAAGTAAAGAAAGTAGATGAAAATACTGTGATATATTAAAATATGGATAAATCTAGATATTTACATTGACAACATAAGGATCAACCCTAATTGGAACTTTCTTCTACGCGATCGTGCTCTGTTATGGTGAAAATTTAGGAAAATTGTTTTAGATTACTGTTTCTTTGACATCTTTACGTTGACTATTGCTTGGATGTAGATGAAAATACTGTGATCAATTAAAATGTGGATAAACCTAGATATTTATATCGACAACATAATGATTAACTAGTTTCGAAACATTCTTCCAAGCGATTCTCAGCTGTCATCGAAACTGAAAAGGATCCCTTCGAATTTCCAGTTGCTTAGCATTCCTACGTCGACGTTCGCTTCGTGAGCGAGGAGTTTACGCGGAAGCGCAGCGATGCGCTGAGATGTATGACAGTCCGGAGATTTTAGTTGCCGATGTAAGATGGATGAACCAGTTCCAAAGGTGCCCGCGTTTCTTTCCGTTCGGGGGGGCGAAGGAGAGCCGCTCGCGGGATCGTTGCGAAACGAGCGCGAGATGTATCGCGGCCGCGAGACGTATCCGTCGATTTTTCCGTAAAATCGCGTTAAGTAATCGGGTTCCAGTGAAATGTAAACCGCTTCGAATTTGGCCGCGAGCGATGCACCCCGAAGCGATGGGATCGCGGGCGCGTGAAAGGGCGAGCGCCTCATAAAAGAAGCCGCGTGCCGACGCGTTGCGCCAGTCCGCGCGCGTTTTAACTCTGTCGATCGCCGACAGAATTTTCAGCGATATCCTAATAATTAGAAGCGATCGTCGACGATCCGACGTCACGTTTTGTACGTTGCACTGTTGGCTACTCGCTCGAGTTGCCGAATATCTTCATTCGACGTCGAGTTTCTCGTTACGATCGTTTTCGATTCACTCGGAAGCTCCGAGCACCGGCAACCGCCGCGCCGATCAGCTTGTTAATTCGCGTCGAGTGTCGTCGTTGATTTTTTGATCGATGATTTCGACTCGGTTCGCGGCGGAGTGAGCGTTCGAGTGTCCACGGTGCGCGGGAATCGAAGAAAGTGCGATTGTCGGGACGAGTCGAGGGGCGAACCGGTGCAACGCGGCCGATTGTTGCCGTCCGACGCTCGAGGAGACGGTAATTGAGACATTCGTCGCGGTTGTTGAGCGACGGAGGAGGTTTTTTCTCGAACTGGAAGGATCGTCGAGTATTTTGAAGCTCGTCACGCTCGCTTCTCGTGGTTTCTTTAAGAGGATTAGACGCGTTTCGGTTTTATTGCGAATTTCTGGGTGGAAATCGATGGCTTCGCTCTTGACGCTTTGCCTGTTGCGAGCTTGTTAATCGGATTTTTAATTGACAATCTTCGATGGTGAATGATGTATTAACAGTACTTGGATTTAGAAGCAAATTGGTTTGATTTAGAAGCAACTGGAATTTTAAAGGTACTTCGCAAGTTAAAACATACTCAGACGTCTAGCGAAAATCATTTTGAGATATTCTGTTTCTCTTAGCAATACATTGTTTTCTGACCTTTTGACCTTGTTTTTTTTTATTCTCTTATGTTCTTCACAGTCTTCTATGCTTTATGAGAGTAACAATTTGAAAATGTTTCTACACGCTTGCAAAAATATGTTAATATCTATTACCTTCGTATCTTATCTTTCAGAAATGGTTCTTTTCAAATTTTCATATTTTCATGAAATTGTATATAGATTTCATATTTTTACCAACACTAGAACATTTAATACGATTAATATGCAATTCCCATAAAAATTGTAACAATAGATTATTTTCAGTTTCTTCAGACATTCATTATAGTACTTGCATGAAGCTATTTATTTATGCATGAAGATATCAATAATTTCTGAACAAAAGAATCGAAACCAGTCATTTTGACTGGTACGGTAGTTCTAGTGTTAAAATCAACGTGACGAAATTCATGACTGCATGAAAGACTAGAGCACATTGGAGTCTCTTGTTATCCAATCAATTTGCCGTTGAATTAATCGACAAAACAAATGCATCGTACGCAGAGTCGTTCCCTCGATCACTGACGAACTCCTCACTGACGCGACGAAAGTCGTGCGAACTTTGTTTCATGAATATTCCCTCAAGACGACGCGTCATTACTTTTAATTACGGATAATCAGCGAGCGTAGTGACTCACTTGAAATCAGTCAGGGGCGTGAAGTTGTGAGGTCATGATGGTAGACAGAAGTTTGCTCGCTCTAGTTAACGAATTTGCTTTTTCATATTCACCGGTCAGTGCGAGTCGTTGCTTCACTCGCGATTTTCACGAGAGTTATAATTGTTAGTGTCCTAATCGATCGCGATAGTTGTGATTTTACAAATTTGAGAGGATCGATAACAAGAGGATTTAGTTCGTATTGGAAGCAAGATTGATCTGTGTATGTATTGACTACTTTTATCTCTTCATAGTTTCAAAATACTCGTGCAACTTGTTTTCATCGATCAGTTTGCGGAGGTTCGTTAAACAAATATTTTCTTGATAAAGAATTTCTGCAATAATTTCAAGAGAATATGGAACGATCTATTTTTAATGATTTCGCCATGTTGCCGCTTGCCACGAGTATGCGTTATCTCGAAGTCAATGGTTACTGACTAATCTCAAATATGATCATTCATTTTATTTTGTAAATAACATCTACTTGTTACTTAATCTTCCAAACTACCTCGATGTCTTCCTACTTCAAATGTATCTAACATTTAATTATCCTACTTTCTAAACATCAACCGTGTTTCCTTCTTAAGATACAAGAACGGTTTAAAAAATATTACCTCAGTAGAAAATAAATTTTCCAGTCAAAAATCAAGATGTTAAATCCTTGACGAACTCACATACACTTTCTCTATTTCCAGCTCCATAATATCAACTTTCCAGTCATCAACTTGCAAACATATTCTCTCCTCAACTCATACCATACAGAAACATCTTCAAAAATCATTACCCCCGATATGCAATAAATTTTCCAATGAAAAATCAAGGTGTTAAATCCTTGACAAACTCACATATACATTTTTCCCATTCCTAGCTCCATAACAACTACTTTCCAGTCATCAACTTCCAAACACATTCTCTCCTCAACTCACATCGTACAAAAACCTTCTCAAAAACCATTGCCCTAATAAGCAATAAATTTTCCAATAAAAAATCAAGGTGTTAAATCGTTGACGAACTCACATACATACACTTTCCCTATTCCTAGCTCCATAACACCTACATTCCAGTCATCAACTTGCAAACATTCTCTCCTCAACTCACAATATACAAAACCATTCCCAAAAACCATTACCTCAATATGCAATAAATTTTCCAATAAAAAATCAAGATATTAAATCCTTAACAAACTTACATACACAGTTTCACTATTCCCAGCACCATGAAACCTACTCTCCAGTCATCAACTTGCAAACATTCTCTCCTCAACTCACACCATACAAAAACATTCTCAAAAACCGTTGGCCTAGTAAGAGACAAAAACCCTAGTAAGAGTTGTCCAATTGACAATCGAGGTGGTAAGTCGTCGACGATCCCACACACCCATTTTCGCTATTCCCAGCGCCATGACACCGCCCTTAGGGACACTTAGAGGAGGGTCTGGTGTGGACAGGATCGAGCGGGAGACTCCAATATACCGGGGGAGCAGGTCGGCAGAATTTGATTTCAATCCGTGCAATTTCCGGTCCCCGATATCGCCCTCCCGGCGGTCGGTGTCCCTGATTCGTCGGTCTCCGCTGAGACCGTGCCGTTCCAGAAACCTACACCTACATGCCGAGAGCGGCGATTCTCGAGAGCCGGCTCGAACTCCCGACCCACTTCGCCTGGACACGCGTGATCCGATGCATCTCTAGTTATCCTCGATTATTAGCCACTCGGCCGCGTTTATTATTGTGCGCGTCCATCCGGCGGAGAGATGCGCTCGCCAGCTGCCGCTAATAATCGCTCTTTCTCTTTCTCCGTGCGTTACCGATCGTGCCGATGAAAGTTCGCCTCGCGCGAACAGGTTTGCTACCTGGAAATCGCTGGGAGTTTCGCCTAACGATGTGCCTGACAAGTGACGTTGGCATTATTAACTCGACGATAATGAGATATTGATAATATGCTAGTAATAACTATTATTACGGGGAATTAGTCGATGCCACGCTGTTGTTAACTCTTCCAGGACGAAGATTCTTTGAAATTTACGAAGAACGGAGGAAGATGAAGCTAAATTCTGTTGATTGGCTAGACAATAGAAAGGAAACGTGATTTCTTGCTTAATCAAATCATTTGACTTGGTATTCGTAATATAAAGCTTCGAATTCACATTATTCGATTGTTCGCGTTTCATTATAAAATATTGTCTATAATCAAGCTACCAATTGAGATTACTTCATGAATTAACAAGGCAGTTCCTTAACTAAAGAAAATAGACAATGCTTCAGATTTGTATTGAAAGTACATTACTTACAAACTAATCGATACAATTGTCCATCGTCAAGGATCGACGGCTACAAAAACCGATCCAAAGGACGATCACGTTGCAAGCGTGATCGGTAATGCGCAATCGGGTTGCATTTAGTTCAGATCGATTGTTCGCGTTTCATTGTAAAATATTTTCTACAATCAAGCTACCAATTGAGATTACTTCATAAACGAATAAACGAGGCAGTGCCTTATAATTCAGGAAAATACACAATGATTCAGATTTGAGTTCCCATTAACGTCTCGATCAGACAGAAAGTACATTACTTCCAAACAAATCGATACAATTGTCCATCGCGAAGGATCGACGGCTACAAGAACCGATCCAAAGGACGATCACGTTGCGAGCGTGATCGGTAATGCGCAATCGGGTTGCATTTAGTTCAGATCCGTCCCGGCGAGTTTCTCTCTTCGATAAATAGGAATCGCATTCGGGCCCATTTGTCAATGGCCATTCTTACGCGGCGGTATGCCCGTTAATCGCGGCGCGTTGGAGTTTCTCGGCTCTCGTCACGGCCAGTTACATCGGCCCGCGCCTCGTAACTTCGCATCTTACGTCACGCACCGTAGAAACGCGAAAGATGCGGCCCCGTGTCGCAAGCGGCTCGGCTTGATCGATGGTGACCACCGACCCAATGGAGAAACCTCCATTGCGAATGCCACCGGATCGATGAAATTGGACCGGCACTGAATGCTCCGGATCGGGGATTCGGTCACACTTTGTCGTGAAGCCGACCACTCCGTATCGATGCATAGGGAATCTGTATTGCTCCTCGGGTACCTGGCAATTTTCACGTCGATGGAATTATTGGTGCCTAATGGAAAGTGCTTTTGAAAGGAATCCTCGAAGTGGAGTGCTTTGGAAATGGCACTTTTTGTTAGAAAATTGCTTGCTTTTGTCTCGTGGGTTTTGAAGATTGGGTTGTTGATCATTTTGTGGTTAATGTTATTGTTCTGATTGTTATTAGATGTTATTGTTGTTATTATTATTCAATTACTATTAGATGTTATTACTGTTAGAGTATTCTTAAATAATTATTAGATTACTGAGTATAGATCAAATTTTCCATATTTACTGTGACAGTTTCTTACCGAAAAATCTAACATTTTTAATATCTATCAATCTTAATACAAGATCATTTGCAACTCGAATTTCGATTCCGTCGAGATCGATAAGTTCTAATATCAAATATTTTAACGAATCAAAGAAACTACCCTAAAATTATTAGATCTTCCACACATCCAAATTTTGTACTAAGAAGGAAAATAAATGATCGAAGAAATGTTGTAGCATTTCTCATGATGTGAATGCTATAGCATAAATTTCGATTTTTTGAAATTACTATACACTTTAACCCTTTGAACTCTGTAGGCTCCAATATTGCAGCAGTTATAATATCAAATATTTCAATGAATCTTAAAGAAACTACCCTAAAATTATTAGATCTTCCACACATCCAAATTTTGTACTAAGAAAATAAAAGAACTAAAAAATGTTATAGCATTTCTCATTATCGCTAGGGATACTATAAAAACTAGTTGCGGTTGATAGATTACAAAACAATCTGTAGTGCTAAGGGTTAACTCGGTACGTCGTGTTTCCAATGAGCGGGGTCATTGAATTGGCAGTGATACACGGTTCAGTGGAATTGATTCGAGCGGTGTCGATTGTTCTCCAGGCTACGCTATGTTGTTCCTGACCGTGGCGGCGTGCCTGGTCATCACGGTGCAGGCCGGATGTCCCATGAGGCCCACCGCGGAACAAACTACAGCGACGAGGACCGCGGGCGACGGCGGCTACAGGATTCTCGTTAGCGGAGAAGCGGACAAGTATATCCCCAACGCTGTTTACACAATCAGTTTGCAAGGTAACGTCCCTTGCTTCCCGTTTCGCGGGCTCGCGACGCGCCGCGCGATTCAATGGTAATGTTCATGGTAATGACGTTCATTGTTTACTTCGTGACTAATTGAAGACGATAATTACGTGGCGAGTCACGTATTCTTATTGCGAGAGGCGGGAATGTTATTCAGGATTAATAACAGTGACCGATATTACGATCATTGAGCTGCAACTTGTGGGAGGTTTGTGAAAGGCAAAATTGATGAATGAAAATCTAAAGGACTTTTGATTTGTATATTGTAATTGTAGTTTTAATTATAATTCCAATTGTGATGTCACAATTACCATTTTAATAAAATTTCAATTGTGATGTTACAATTACCATTTTAATAAAATTTCAATTGTGATGTTACAATGACCATTTTAATAAAATTCCAATTGCAATGTTACAATTACAATTTTAATCATAATTCCAATTGCAACGTTACAATCACAATTTTAATAAAATTGCAATTGTGATGTTACAATTTCAATTTTAATCATAATTTCATTTGTGATGTTACAATTTTAATAAAATTTCAATTGCAATTTTACAATTGCCATTTTAATAAAATTCCAATTGCAATGTTACAATTAAAATTTTAATAAAATTCCAATTGCAATGTTACAATGACCATTTGAATAAAATTCCAATTATAATGCTCCAATTACAATTTCTCCAGACCAACCACTGTAAGAGCCCAAAAAGAAGTAATTTGAACACTGGCATCGCTGTGCAAACTTTCAAATATGAACGAATTAATTCCGCTGTTTTCAGGCTCGAGAACGCACGAGAGGCTGCAACAGTTTACCCGCTTCACGGTATCCGTTCACTCCCAGCATGCGCCGAACAATCCCGCCGCACGGGTCGGCTACTTTCAATTATTCCCGGACTCGCTGGCCACCTTCAACGAGGATTGCGTGAACACCTTCTCGGAAGCGTCGGATCTCCCGAAAACTGAGGTAGGAAATTCTATAAATTTATCAACTAACCACGGATCTAACAAACCAACGATAAAACTTCTTACAATTATTATATCACACCACTTATTCCATATATCCATTCCAACTTCAACAGAAACATTCCAAAAAATTATTACTGCCTCATTAACCCTTCAACAATGTTTAACAACTATACTCATCAGAATAAAATAACCAACTTTATAAACATATATATTTCTTAACCACTTAACAAAGAAATTTCATTTTAAAATACTCCCATGTGTTATCGAAATAAGCGCCGACGAGTATACTCGTCAGTGTTACAGAGTTAACACTAGAACTACGTACCAGTCAAAATGACTGGTTTCGATTCTTTTGTTTAGCAATTATCGATATCTTCCAAGTGTTGAATACTCGAAAAGATTTTGAAAATGAATAGTTTCATATGAGTACTATAATGAATGCCTGAAGAGACTGTAAATAATCTATTGTTACAGTTTTTACGTATTAACCCCTTGCCCTATGATTTCTCTGTAAACTGTGATCAATCTAACTACTTTGTTCTCAATAAGTTATTGAAAATAGGAGAAAATTTCAGTCTTTTTCTACATCAACGTGTCCTCTAAGGTATAATCATTGATAATGGAGGAATAATATATAGTTTGCATTCAAACGAATTAAATAATATTTGTTTGTTCAATGCCACTTGAAATCTTCACGAGTATGACACGATATTGACAAGGGGTTAATCGGTAGTTCTAGTGTCAACTAAACGCTCGTAACAATTTGCGAGATATCTCCGAGGATCGAAGCTGGACAGTATCTCGTCGAGTTTCTCACGAACAGATGTTCCCCGATTTTCGTTCGAGTATCTCGAGTCCCTGTCCGTTGCACGCAACAAGACTCGATCGTGCACCGCGAAGAACCGTTCGAGGCCGATCGCGGATAGATTCCGAACGTTTGGCCGTCAGCCAAGCGTCGATGGTGTCCGATTCCTCGGCGTTATCGTGGCTTCCCGTAACGAGACAATAAAACGTTCCTTACCATTGGCGTAGATCCAAGCGATGTGGAGGGCACCGCCGAAGGGCTCGGGATGCGTTATCTTTACGGCGATGGTCCTGGAGAATAACGTGCGATGGTACGCCGAGGACGGCAGCTTAACGAAAACCTTCTGCGAGATGAGCCCGAAAGAGCTGGAGGACCTCGACGGTGACAAGTGCTGCGCCTGCGACGAGGCCAAGTATTCGGTAGGTTGAAAATATTTCCGATTTTCGAAAATCCCTTGACATCTGCGCATTTCGAGGTTCTCAAAACCATCGAGATTTGGAAAAGTATAAGCATTCTCCATCATAAAACATGCTCTAATCAATTTCTCAATGAACTAATTCCTCTGTTACTAAGATTAAGCTTCAATTCATCAAAACCAGGATAAACAACGAAATATTCTGAGACACTCTAATTCCGCTCTAGAATCAACCCCCAGCGTCTAGATCCATTGATATAGAGAAACATTGACACAACTATCGAAAGGAACTTCATTACAACGTGTTCCTATTGTTAGTATCGTTATTTAACTGCCCCACTCAATGGAAACTAGCGCGCGAAGTTATTACGATGGCATTGGAATGATTCGAACCACCCCGTCGCAGTTAACTATGGAGGGAATCTGGTCGAACGTGACCCACCCGAAGCAGTTCCCGTTCTCCGCCTGGTTGACCCACTTCAGCGATGTGATCGGCGCGTCCCACGTTCCTAGCTTCTCCTTCTGGGGCAAGGACCACATCGCCACCGACGGCTTCCGGCAACTGGCCGAGTGGGGCTCCGCGTCGGGGGTGGAGGCGGAGCTGAGGCTCAACGCGAACAAACTGAGGACGCTGATTAAGTCCGCCGGCCTTTGGTACCCGAACGTAAACAGCAACACGACCACCAGTTTCAGGTAATTGTTTTCCCCTTGGTAATTACCTGGCTGCTTTTTCTTCTGCTGGAAGAACTGGGGCTTGGAATATTATCACAATGGCTCATCTTCGGTGTACATGTAATTATTTGAAATGGAAGAGATAGGGAGGTTCGTGGTTGTAAAGGATGGAGTAGGGTGGGATGTATTTTGGAATGTTGGGAATTATGTCTTTGTTTGAAGCAGAAGAGGTGGAATATTTGAATATTTAAGTATTTGTTTGAATTATGAGAGATAGGGAGGTTCGTGGTTGTAAAGCATCATGCAAGATGGGATATGGTTTGGAAAGTTGGAAATTATATTTTTATTTGAATTATGAGAGATAGGAATATTTGAATATTTAATTATTTATTTGAATTATGAGAGATAGGGAGGTTCGTGGTTGTAAAGGATGGACTAGGGTGGGATATATTTTGGAAAGATGGGAATTATGTCTTTATTTGAAGCAGAAGAGATGGAATATTTGAATAATTATTTATTTGAGTTATGAGAGATAGAAATATTCGAGAGTATAAAGCATGCAATAGAGTGGCAATAATTTTGAAAAGTTGAGAGCCTAGTATTCTAGTAGCTCTCGATTGATGAAAATGAAGTAGATATAGAGAATTTTCCAGTGACTTGATATTGATGAAAATGAATAAGCAAGCACGAAGATCGTAGTAAGAATACAATAATATTAAAATATAGACACTAAGAATGCTATAAACATATTTTAGACCCAAAGGTGTATTCCGAGCAACCTGAATATAATCTGTAAATCTGATTTTATTCAACAAAGGCAATTTCTCACACTGAAATCAATTCTTCTTCAGAGTAGACAAAAACCACCCCTTGGTCTCGGTGGCGTCCATGCTGGGTCCTTCCCCCGATTGGGTGGTCGGCGTCAGCAAGCTGAATCTCTGCAGGAAAGACTGTACCTGGACAAAAAGCGAGATCATCGACCTGTATCCATGGGACGCTGGTACCGACAATGGGATAACCTACATGTCGCCGAATTCCGAGACGAAGCCACGGGAGAAAATGAAGCCGATCACCACTTTGTACCCCGAAGATCCTAGATCACCTTTCTACGATCCTACTGGTAGACCCATGCTACCTCTGGCTAGGTTGTATTTGAACAGGGAGAAGCTGATCCCACGTGGTTGCGACGAAGAGGCTCTTCAACAACAACTGACGCAATTGGAAGTCGCTGAAAATACCGAAGACACTTCTAGACGTAAGAACATTTATAATTCTCGTCTCTGATTATTTAGATTCACGTTTCTTGAGTGTTTTCATCGTTTCTATGGACAAATTCGAGTGAATTGCTTCGGTTGTTCGGTGATTACAGGTTTAACCCTTAGCAGTCCTATGTCGAGTCAGACTCGATCTATTTTATTGCAACCTCTACCTGTTTTAATAATTTTTTCTATATTTATGTGTAGCATCGCAATTGTACCATTTAAAGGTAACATTTCAATGACTCCCAAATATTCTCGAATAAATAAATAGAGCGTCATATCAAGCTGTTGTTTTCTAGGTCTCTATTGATACAGTTTGTTGTAGTAGTACTTTTTTTAATTTTTCTTTGTTTATTCTGGATAAAGCTGAATGCCAGACGACGGAGTACACGGCCTGGTCACCCTGCTCGGTGACATGCGGCAAAGGATTGAGGATGAGGACCAGAACCTATTTGATGCCGGAGAAGGCGGCCATGTTGCAGTGCAATAGGCAGCTGGTTTCGAAGGAGATGTGCGTTGCATCGGTCGCAGAATGTCAGTAAGTGTTGCAAAATTGATTGGTAGTTAGAAATTGAGAAGGAATGTAGGGTGAGAAGGCTGCGGAGTGCTGAAGTGTTGTAAAACTGATTCAAATTTGAAAATTGGAAGAAATCTAGGTGTCCCAAGATTCTAGATTACTCGCAAGTGTTTCAAAACTGATTTAAAGTAAAAACATTCGAAGAAATATTAGAATTCTAAGATTCCAGAGTGCTTAACTGTTCCAAAATTCAAAAACAAGAAGAAATCTAGGTGCCTTCCTTCACTGTTGAGTCTACCAATTAGCCTATATCACCAAATCACCCATAAAGTCAATCCTACCAATGTTAATTCATTACTTCATCGTGGTCTCCTGCAACACGATTAACCAAACACGTTTCAAATACTGTCTCTAGAGGCGAAGAAGAGGCGGAAGGTGACGTGGAGGTAGGATTGCCAGTCAGTAACGACGCGCTGTGCAGAACTACCGACTGGGGCGAGTGGTCCGAGTGCTCATCGACCTGCGGCATCGGGATGAGGTTGAGAAGGAGAAGGTTCTTCAATAATATGGCTCGTAAACGATGTCCTCAGTCGCTCGTCGAGAAGACGGAATGTACGGGGCCACCGTGTCCGGCCGGCGCCGAGGAACAAATTGATCCTACGTGCAAGGTGTGTTACCTAGATCATCCTATCGCTCTTGCGATCCTTTGTCTTTCTTTCTTCCTACTCTTCTTCTTCTTCTTCGTTCATAGATCAATTATGAACGAATTGCACCACAGTTTCATATTTCTGAAATCTTCACTCTGCTGGATACATTATTTTCTTACTTTTCTGTCTGGTGAATTTTCATGTTTACAGTTTTACACTTTACATTTTTATTTTGTTTCATTTATTTCATACTCCCATTTATATGTTCCGACATTTAGTGTATTATTTTACATTTTTGTTTGCATAACTTTATATTTTGATTTATATATTCTCACGTTATTTCATACTTCCATTTATATTCCGACATTTAGTGTATTATTTTACATTTTTGTTTGCGTATCTTTACATTTTGATTTATATATTCTCACATTATTTCATACTTCCATTTATATGTTCCATTTAGTGTATTATTTTACATTTTTGTTTGCGTCTCTTTACATTTTGATTTATATATTCGCACTCGGTATACGCCTAGTTCACACTGTCGTTTATATATTCCGACATTCAGTGCATTTTTTCACACTTCTAGTCCTCTGCAATCAGTACATTGTTTACACAGGTGACAGACTGGTCCGACTGGTCGCCCTGCAGCGCATCCTGCGGGAAGGGGGTGAAATTGAGGACCAGGTTACTAATGGTCGACCCTTCGGAGCAACAACGGTGCTCCTCCAAGGTGGAGATGCTGCAACAGAGACCTTGCTTGGAGCAGGCCGACTGTACGTTCGACATGGCCACAGCGAAAGGTAACATAAATTCCTTCAGATGAAAATTCTCTTTATAAATTGTTTCAAGCAGCAATTACATTATTGTAGTATCTAGAATATTTAACCAGGTCGTATTGCGACGGACCGGCGCCGGGATGTTTGGAAAATAGTGTGACTGCGTTTAGAAAATCTCGAGCGGCTGAAAGAATACGAGGAAGAGTGTCTGGAACCGAGCGACTGGACCTTGAGAAAAGCGTGTACGCGACTGCGTGAATTTAGACTATGGACGAAAGATGCGAGTGAGAAGGGTGCAGGGGTGAGAAAGACAGAGCGAATGGGGGTGTGTGTTAAAAGCGAGTGGGAATGCGTGCGAGGACATTTTGGTGAGAGACAGCGAAGAACATTTTTGTGCGTGATAGAGTCGTGTGTTGGCCTTCGTATTAAGTTGTATTTTACGTGTTGTCCATATTGTTTCCTAATTCTCATCTTACGGAAGATCCACCTTTCCAATATCTATAATAATAGTAGCCCCACTATAAAATTGTTTCCTTATTTCATCAAACACCTAATTTCATCAAATTCCTAATTCTCGATTACTGAAGACCCACCTGTTCACCATCTATAATAATAGTAAACACTATATTATTATCGTACATTTTCCAGTGGTCTGTATGGAGGAAGCAGATCCCGGTCCCTGCAGAGGCTACTTCCAAAGATGGTCGTTCGTTCCTCAGAAGTTGATGTGCGTGCCATTCGTCTACGGCGGCTGTCGCGGCAACAGGAACAACTTCTTGACTGCCGACGAGTGCATCAACACTTGCGGCATTGTAACGAACACACTCTCCATATAAATATCTGGTTTCATTGAAACATTACTCGGTCAGTTCCTAATGAAGCAAATTCTTCAGGTACGAGCGATTTTAAACGGAGAGCCACTGAACGCTACCAGCCTTCAGCAACCGTCGACACCAGTCGACTGCCAGGTGTCCAATTGGTCGCCTTGGACATCCTGCAGCGTCACTTGCGGCTCCGGTCGTGTCACTAGCTTCCGCACTGTTCTGGTAAAATGTTTCATTTGACTAAATATCTTAGAAATGAATTATCTGGGTATAGACAATTCCAGTTTTCGATCGAATATCTGATGAATCACGTGATTATAATATTTAAATCAGAATCATATACAGACGAGAAGTAGAGAAAGTATGAGGAAAGAAATTCTCAATATATTTTCCGTTTAATTTTGAACCTAGAAGCATTTTATACACGAGTGTTTCGTTTCCTCGATTAACCCTTTGCAGACGATCCTTCGAAATCTGAGAAACCTCCAGCAGATGGTCAATTATATATCAGTCGATTAATAGAAAAAGGAAACGTACCGATCTCTTGCTGTCTAAGCAATTAAATCACTCGTTCGAGATTCAGTCTTCCAAATACGAATATTTCATCTCGAGGTGTCGATGTTTGTCCGAAAAGGGGTTAATAATGAAACCGCTAAAATCAGTCAGGAGCATAAATCAAAGGATTGGAAAGTCAGTCTATTTGGCAAGCTTTCCCGTAGGAAGCAAAGTGCGATCTTACTGCAGTATGCATCCGAGTCTCTGAATTTTCAGCAAGACCCGCAGAACGGCGGTCGTCCTTGTCCCAAGAAGCTTCAGCGTCGCTCCCGATGCCAGCTCGCGCCGTGCGAGTAACACTTCAAATAAACTGGATTCGAGACTGGCGCGGCTAAAACAGCAAACAGAGAAGACAGGGAATACGTTCGTTTTTGGGCGCGGATCGTGACCCGTTCAAGATGTAATGATTCACGCGAGGGACGCCTCAAATATTCACCTTTCCCTTCGTTCTCCATTCACAAAGGAACGTCCACCGATTCCGATGAATCTTTGATACGATCGTTCTCGTATGAATATTTTGCACGTGGTTCTTTATAAATTTATTGAAAATTTTGTATGCTATTCTAACGTCTTCGATGTTAATAGTAAAATAGAATGTGATCAACGTGTAAAGTTTATGAAAACTCTGGAAACAGATTTTTCTCGGTTTCTTCGTGTATTTGTTGCAATATCAGAATGGAAATATTTATTTTTAAAATTATTTTGGATATTCGACAGTAATGTGTTTAATGTTAACACTAGAAGTACTGAGAGTTTCATATGATCAACGTGTAATGCTTATGAAAACTCTGGAAACAGATTTTTTACAGTATCCGAGTGAAAACTGTTTATTTTGGAAACAATTTGGATATTCGACACTTTCAAGGTGTCTATAATTGCGAAATAAGAAAAATGGAACCTGTTATTTAGTGTTGATACATTTGTAGGTTCTTTGTTTCATTAAAGATTCATCAGAATCGATCGATGTCGCCGTGAAATTGGTTCCCCGGGGATCGAAGAGGATCGTCCGATATATTGTAAGTTTTTCTACAAGATGGTGGGTACGAAATAAACCGATGTATCAGAATAAATGGTATTTTATTAATGGTCAATCGTGATCTTCCTACTCCCGGTCGAATTCTCGAGAACACGCAGGCCATGGCAAACATAATCGAGCTGCTCTGCCATTATTGCGTTCGAATTTCCACATCTTCTAACAAATCCTCGCCAAGCGATCGTTCGTAAAGAATCTTGTCACGAAGAAACATACGAATCGTCGTAATCGGACTGCAAACGTTTACGCGTTAATTTCCATTCAATATCTCCGAAAACCATCGAAATTCAAAGACTCATTAAATAAATTCATTTAACAAACGTAACGCTAATCGATTCCAATTCTTCCCTGGATCTGTTCACGAGAGCACGAATCCCCATAAACGTCACAGTCCGATCATCGAAGACGACGAAATAATAATAAAAAGCAATCGATACTAAAAAAGAAAACATTATCCTAACGACTATACAAATCTCGCGCAACTCTCCGTAATAATCGTAACTAACGCTCAGCAAAAAGAAATGGATCACTTTCTCTCGAAGGACAATAAACGAACGATAATCGAACGAGACGCGTGGACTCCGATGAAACGACTGTCCTCGACACAACCCGATCCTGTCCCCGACAGGCCGCATATTTCTTCCAAGAAACGTTATCGTGATGGATGCGGTCAGAAACGATATTAATTTCGATCTCGTGAAAAAATTCCGCTATAGTTCGTTAACAGCTATAATTCGCCTCCGAGGAATACAATCTATAATTATGTTCGCCGGCTTATCTTGTTAATAAAACAGTTTGGTTCCGTGTTTGCATTTTTTTTTTCTTGTTGTTCTTTGTTCCGTTTTTTGGTTTTCCTCATCGTTGATCCTCCTCGTTTTCTTACACGTATTCTTCGTCATCAT